ATGAGAATGTGTGTGTGAGTTTGAGTTTTGATTTTAAAATTATATTGTTGGCAAACGTCAGACTGCCTCTCAATGGTTTTACCTTGTTATGTTTTTATCATGTATGTAAGTCTGTTACGAAAACTCCGTTTCTCCCGATTTTTTATGTCATTTGCACTGCACTGATTTTCCTAACGCTGCACATACGCGTATTTGAACGGTCTAGGCGGCCATGAGTCAATTTGACAAAATTTTAGAAAAAAATAGTCACATTCGATCCGAAAAAACCTTCTCAGCTTTTTAACTTGTACAGCGAACGTTGACTTTTGACCGGAATTAGAGTTCGAGTATTCTAGGGCTGGCAAGAAGTCCGGAAGCACACAAAAAGTTTTTGGATACCGTATTCATGTCTAGCGACCTCATATTTATTAGCATGAAAAACATAATTTTTCTTATAAACTAGTGTACTATATTCTATTTTCCGAATTTCGGCATATTTTTTGACACTGTCCTCTTTTATGTAAATTTTCACCACTGGCATCCCATGACCTCTTCAATAAAATACACATTGCTTGGACAGCTTTGTTAGGAGTTTTCAAGAAAATTTTCGCTAGAAATCTGTAATCAAGATATTTTCAATCGGCAACTTTTGAGTTGAGATCCTCAGGCCAATGTATGTATTGAGGAAAAGTGAACTCATTTTGCTCTCTTTATACCGGCAAAATCTGAAATTTTGTTTTCATTCTTTGTAATAAAACTCACTTTCTTCGCAAATATTTTGTCTCTTTTCTTTTAAATGTATTTATTTCATTAACATTTACCCTCCATTATTTATTTGATAGAAAATAAATTGAATAAGTATGTTAAAATTATAATATATTTTATAAATTCTAAGAAAATAAACCATATCCCTTTATGATATTTTTTGAAGTACAGAATGCGGGTTAAATAAAAGTGTTGAATTGGTTATGCACAAGGTATATTATACAAGGTGTGATTGACAACTCAGTGCGGCTCTCTTTTAGGGTACTATAATGTCAAAAAGTATAAACAAACGAATTAACCCTTAGTGATACATTACCTGGAATATATATATTTTGTTAATAAAATAAAACAAATTGTTTATAATATCGTTTTGGCAATTTTCTTGTTTTTAATTGCCCTAGTTTTATGCCTTTGTGCGTTTATTTTTATATTTAAATTTTTTATCCTAAACATTATTCGACACTTATAAAAGTATGATTTTACATTTGTTTCCAATTTTATATGAGATCTTAACTCTAAAAATTTTGAAACTAAATTTATTTCATGCGAAATAGTTTGGGCACAAACGAGCTCCTTTGAAAGTGCTTGATTCGGACGGACAGCAAATGAAATAATTTTTCTTGAAGTGGTTTTCACAAACGCGAGATGAATCACGTAGTACAACACCACATCGCTGCCATCTTAACTCGCAACTAGGTGGTTTAAAACATCGCACTATTTTCGTGTCCTGACTTCTATTGCATACAGCGCACCGTTCAAATGTTTTGCTCCGTTTCATCTTGGTTTCCTTACATTAAATAATTTAGCAAAGTCGAACGTATTTACTTATTACCAAACTTTAAATGTACTTACTTGCTCTCCTCGGCGGTGTATCTCTTAACAATTTCACGTTTATTAAGAAAATTTTTTTTCTGAGGGTAAAAATATTTATTTATTTGAACAAAAGTGGTGGTACAAATAAGATAAGAATCTTTTTAAAGTACATCAACTTCATTTGGTATTTTATTACAGAGTAACATATTAAATTAAATTAAATTAAAATAAACTTAGCACTAACACAAAACATAAGTAAATCCTTAACTAATCATAAGCACAATTAAACATATACATAGTTAGAAGAAAATGAGTTCAGAGAGGCAGATGAAAGGAAAGAAAGAATATTATTGCGATCACACTCATCGCAGTGACCCAAAATAGTTGTATATTAGCAATTTGTTGCTTGAAAAATTTTTGTGTAAATTTTTTTAAACAAATTCAAATTTGAAAAAAAATATTTTCAAATGGGTTAAGAATTCATTTCAGTTTGACATTATAGCCTGTTTCTTATGAGAGCAATGTCAAAATCAATCACACTTTGTTGAATACATTTTGGTTATGCATACATATAATTTTGGAAGCATAGAAAGTTTAAAGTTGTTTTTGGGAACATACTGTTACTTAGTTTTCTAAGTAGTTGTCGATCAGTCAAATGTAACGAACCTTTATCAGTTTTGAAAAAGTGAAAAAATAATGGCCGCATTTCTTTATTCATTCTGAACGTTTGGAATAAACTTTTTTGTTTACGTATTCTTTAGAACGTTCCTGATGATATGTTAACGTATATTTCAAACGTATTCTGTTTATTCCGGTTGTGAAATGGGATTATCCGGAATGTATAAAGAAACGCAGCCAATACAAAATGACTAGGACTACAAGACCACCACATCATTCAAAGAAAGCCTTAACCCTTGTTTGAGAACTAAGGCCGAACTTTAGGAACGAAATATGGACGACCCTTGTATACTTATTTCTTAACTGTAATACATACTTACAATTGATATTGGAATTATGAAGCACATCAGAAATAACATCCAATTACTGACGGTATTCTGTCTGAACGGGTGTTTTAAGGTTTTGTCATCGCAAAAAAATCCACGTTTGTAGGAAACTCCCAAAAGATGAAATGCCAATACGGGTAGCCCTACTACAAAGATAAAACGTGTTTTTATTATCTTAACTCATATGGTGCGATATATCAATAAAGATCTTAAATACATATCGTCGATGTTTTTGCAAAACCGCCCATCGACCAGTTGCAAAACCGCCTAAATCACCGTTGTGGCAAAAATGAGATTTGGTAGCCCCGAACTCCAGGAATCGAGATTTATGCATAAAAATCGTTAAATCGTTATTAAAACAACAGATTTGTAAAATAATAGCTAGAGAAAATACCGCCTATCAAGGCAATGCCTTAAAAAAATAAAAATGTGAGTGCCGTAAGATAGGCGGTTTCGCAATTGGGCGATGGACGGTTTTGCAAAAACATCGACGATATGTATATGTATATCTATAGGTATAGGTACATATCGTCGTTTAAAGTCCAAAACCGCTTATCAAAGAAATGAAAACCCGCGTATTAAGATAATGCAAAACTGCGTATGTGAGGTTGCATAAATTATTCTCTGTAGAGTAAAAACACTCATATTTCAAAATAGTTCCCTTTTTACCTTCCTTTTATTAGCTCGGGATGTAACTATGTAATATTGATGCGCCTAAAAGATGCAGCGATTTCTATTCTCAAGTTACATACATACGTGATGACAGTACGAATGGCAATTATAATAGGGAGGTTTTAGTTTTTTAAACTATAATTCTATTATCTATAAAGCAATCGCATTTTTGGCTAGTATATTTCAAGACGAATGGATAACGATTGAGCCTAGAGCTTGTGTGAGAAAATCCAATATTTTGGCAAAAAAATTCAGTTACGCGGTTTTGCAGAACGACGGTTTTGTACTTTAAACGACGTTATGTTTTTTTTTCAAAGGAGGAGGCATAGAAAGCCTAACCCCAACCATCAGTGTGAGACTTTAACCCACTAACCCTCCTACCATATATGTGCCGATATCCCACAACGTGTAAAATGAAGCAGGGTTACTGTGCCCTGTGCAATGGGGTATAGTCGTTGTGGAGTGCAATGCAGCTACAGTTGCATGACTATACTCATTCCCGACTCTTGCGCCCTCTTTCACGTACTCTGGGCAACGAGAGCCACCCTTGAGCGAGATGCGGTAACCAATCCGAGTGGAGCCTTGGGTCACGGCAAAAAGAGAGGGAACTTCAGGGGGGCCACTCCGACTTTTTCGGTTTAAGGGCTCACTGAAGTCTGCAACGTCTGTTCACCAGTAGGTGCGGCCGCAAGTGGGTGTCTGTCTTGGAGCAAGCGGTTCGCTATATAAACGTGTTTTTGGTTGCGAAACCACCTCCGTCCCAGCAATGGGTTCCGCGCTGGGTTTGGGACCCGCCACGTGAAAACCCCTTCCAGTGAAAAGCGAAGTAAAGCCTTGGATGAGACCCCCTTATGATGACGACCACGGCAAACGTTTCAAGGACTACGATTTGAGGGCATGCACCTGGAATGTCCGGACCTGTAATGGGGAAGGTGTTCTGCCCGGCTGGTTGATGTCCTCGTAAGGACCAAATCAGACATTACCGCCATCAAAGAAATGCGTTGGACGGGGCAAGGCAAGCAATGTCTGGAGCCTTGCGACGATTACTACAGCTGCCATGTAAAGAAGCGCAAATTCGGTGTTGGATTTGTGGTGGGAGAGAGACTCCGTCGCCGAGTACTGTCGTTTACCCCGGTGGACGAGCGTCTAGCCACAATCCGCATCAAGATGAGATTCTTCAACATCTCGCTCATCTGTGCACATGCCCCGACGGAAGAGAATGATGAGGCATCCAAGGAGAGCTGCCCTCGCCATGATATCAAAATCGTTCTTAGCGACTTCAATGCCAGAGTGGGCAACATCGATGCATTGAATAAAACCGATGTTTTGGACCTTCCGATATATATCGATATATCAATGTATTTTTGCGATGCATCGACGTTTGTGTCAATGTACACTACACTGTACGTATTAAAATTATTTTCTATGCTTCCAAACTCTTCGCTCTAGTAACTATTCTAAATGTGGAAATTTCACTTTTTATGCACTATTAGAATATACATTACATTAATAATAAGCAAAAGGTACTAATAAAGCGCTAATTTATTAGTAGCCAAACAACTTTCTTCAAAATGATATTAATTGATATGATAATTGACACTCTAAAACCCTTTGGAAATTTGGGCAGATTTTAAACACCCAATTTCGAAAATTGTTTCACGTAGCTTATAAACCTAGTGAATAATATAAAGCGACGTACGCTTAATTCAAAGCAAAATTTGAGTTTGTCCTTTTCGTTTTTTTCAATTCTGGCATTGACCTTTGGTTTTGTTGCACACCTATGCCCGATTTCGATTTCAGCAATAAAATTTAGTAAGTAATTGATAAATAAGAAACCGTTCATATTATAAATCCTATTAGCGGAACTTCATTCACTTGAAATTAATTTTAATTGCAAATTTTTTAGTATTTTGCAAATTATAGAAAAATTTGTAATCAATAATTCTACTCAAATGTTTTGAGTTTCTAGATTCTGAAGTTGCATTAAATTAATGTAAAATAATTAACAGCAAGTCTTTAGAGAGCATAGCGGTATACAGATATGGACCAGTTTGATTTAAACAATGAATGGAAAAGTATTTTGAGTGCTTTTATTATCAAAGAAAGTAAAATTAGCGATGTATAAACGTTTTAGAAGTAGTCGTTAACAAACGGGCAGTGGAGATTTCTTGTATCGAAATTTTATGGAAGATATAGTTTTATATTATTTTTCCATAATTTTAATGCTAACTGCCAACGTTTTTTTCATTGCTTACTGAGATCAAAACGAAAAAGATAATCAGAATAAGCGAATAAGTTAAATGCAATGTGTGTAGTAAAATCTACCTAACTTACTTAATAAACAATCATCGAATTTTCTGGGGTCTTTGACGGACATACGGTTGCCAGACGTACTGATTTTATCAGTACAGTACTGATTTTTCAACTCTTGTACTGATTTTATTCATTTCTTCAATCAGTACGCTGATGTCCTGATTTTTCAAAATTTGTACTGATTTGTACTGAATTTTCAATTCAAACAAAATACTTTAGGATTTTCTTAAGGTTTTTACATAACATTGGAACTTGCTTAAACTACATTGTAAAAAAAAGAAGAAAATAATTTAATTATAGTTGACATGTTTCAGATAATGTTTGATATGCTCAAGAAATTAATACAACAACGGGCATATCGCCGGGTCGTTACGTACCAGTTGCAATAGTGTGATGGAGCTTAAATTATTCAAAAAGAAGGATGAGGTTGACGTTTTTTTTGTCGTGTGTTGTAAGATATCTCGAAAATAACTTTGAGTTTAATAACAACGAATTTGCCTATAACTTACAATTCTTTTTTCACAATTTACTGACATTGTAAAAGAGTTTTGGATACGAGACATAAAGTTAATACTCTTTTCAGCGAATTCTTAGTCTTTCAAAGTTTTTGCGTAGTTGCAAAAGTTAATTTAAGCCATGAGGAAATATAGAATAAGTTCTTAAATAGTGGTGCTTTTCCACAGTTTGAAAAAATATGTAGTTTATTTTTTTCAATACCACACTCAAACGAGCAACTGAGAGGATCTTAAGTATATAGTTATTTCCTGACGCAAAGAGAGAAATCGGGTTCTAATTAAAATTGTTTAAAGTGAGCTTCAAATTAAAATTAATTTTAAAATGAAATGTATAGACTTCTTTGACTATGTCAACACTGAAGATTCAAATGATCTCATTATTGCTAAGCATTCAAAAATGTCATAAATCTAATATATAAAACGGTGTTAGTGGTCGAACTCCTCCTAACCGGCTTGACCGATCTTTATGAAATTTTTTGTGCATATATGGTAGGAATGAGAATCGGATGTAAAGTATATTTCATACCGCTAGGTGCAAGGGGCGTGGCCCCTCCCATACAAACCGAATTTTTCATACTGCATATCTCTGGAAGTGTTCGTGGTAGAGTACTGGAAACTTTGTATGGATATGTATGAAATCAATCACATGGTCATGAAGAAAAATTGGGGCTATTAGAAAAAGGGGCGTAGCAGATCCCATACAAACCGAATGTTTCATACTGCATGTCCCGGAAGATGTTCATGGATGGGTAGTCGAACATGGTATGCATATATATGAAAACAAGCGCATACTCGTGGAGAAAAATTGCGGTTATTGGAAAAGGGGGCGTGGCACCTCCTGGACAAACCAAATTTTTCATACTGCATACCTCTGGCAGTGTTCACCATAGAGTACTGGAATTTTATTCATTTATTTATTTATTTTAGGGTGTCCCTATCCTAAAAAAATTGTCTCCATTTTCTTCTTTTAGAACTTTTAGTATTTTGTTATGAAAAATCTAATATATAAAAATATCGTGTCACGGTGTTTATGGTCGAACTCCTCCGAAACGGCTTGACCGATTTGAATGAAATTTTTGGTGCATATTCGGTAGGTATGATAAAAGATTGCAAAGTATATTTCATACCGGTATGGAGATATATGAAATAAATCCCATACTCTTAGAGAACACTGCGGCTATTTTATAGGGGGGCGCTTTAAATATTTATTTCAATACAAAAAATTAATTTTGGGCGGGACGAAGCTCGCCGGGTCTGCTAGTATAAAATAATTTATTGGCTTCTGAGTACAAGGATGTATACACTCATGTTAAAATGAATAACACTTTTATTTTTTATGAACTATATTTTATTCATATACCAAAATATTGTATAAAACTAGTTCTCTGGCGATTTAAAGTATTATCTGCTACTTACATTCACAATTTTGCTTTGAATAAAAATGTACTGAAAAGTACTGATTTTTTTAGCATGAAAAGGTCCAATGTACTGATTTCGCGCATAAAAAATCTGGCAACCCTAGACGGACATATAAAATATAGTTACTATGAAAAAATGGCAAAATAAACAATTGGGTATTGAATATTATTGGGAGTCTCCTGAAAGAAACAGAGCCGAAAAATATTGATTTTAAAGAATTCTATACT